AAAGCCAACAAATACAGGCATGACTCTGACTGACCTGCCTGCCAGTCTGCAGCTGAACATCATGCACAGTCTTTCTGACGGCAGAGACCTGGTCAGCCTGGGCCAAGTGTGTCCGGAGCTGGGGACCCTCACAGAGGACCGGCTGTTGTGGAAGAAACTCTGCCAGTACCACTTCACAGACAGACAGGCATGTAGAAATTTAAGGGAATGCAAACACTTGCGTACGTGGAATGTTCAGATGGCCTTTATGGCATCTGTGATAAAGCTAGCCTGGAAAATGGGAGGCAGTAACCCAGCACCATGCTCAAAAGGCATGCATTTGATAAGTGAGTGAGGGATTCTCACCTATAGGCTAAAGTGGGCTACAGAGACGCTTTACAGGATAGACGCCCCCCCGCCCCCAAATGACAAAACTATCCATTAAGGTTTCTAAAAAATCTCACTCTGAGTGTGACCAGTAGTATATGAATAAAATAAAAGCCTGAAGAGTGTGCGTGTGTGTATATGTGTATATATATATAATTTTTTTTTTTTATTTATTTTTTTTTTAAGTAACATTTTTTTAAAAGCCTGTCTTATATTTTAGATCCGGAAGCGGCTGCTGGTGTCAGATAAAGGTCACCTGGAGTGGAAAAAAATGTACTTTAAGCTGAGCCGCTGCTATCCTCACAGAGAGCAATACAGCGACACCCTGCACTTCTGCACACACTGCCACATCCTTTTCTGGAAGGTACTCTGCTTCATTCTGTTTCATTTTGCACTTGATCAGTGTAGATGTGAAACTAAAATGTTCTTGTTTTTAAAGCAGAGGGGGAAAAAGGCATTATAAATTCATGCAATGTTTCTTTTTTTCTTTCAGGATATAAACCACCCCTGCACAGCCAACAACCCAGAAAGCTGCACCATGTCCCTCTCCCCTCAAGACTTTATCAATCTTTTCAAATTCTGATCCCTCCCACTCACAGACGCCCCGAATCCCGATGATCGGACTGTACATACTGCTGTACATATTGTTTTCTTTAATATCACGATTCTTGGATGTATTTTAGAAGAGACTGGAGAGTGCTGAGGCAGCAGGACAGTTATGCAATCAGGTTTCTTTTGAGCGAGCACTGAGAACCCATCAGAGTGGGTTAACTGTGGAAAGCTAGTGGACGTGACGAAGAGCAGTAGTGATGTCGAGGAAATCGGGCTACATGCGAAGGAAATGAAGGGAATACTTAACTGCTGGAGTTCAATCTTAGTTTAATGTGTTTTCTGAAATTACACTTGCAAAGTAAAAGCACCTTTTGAACTTTAGATTTGAGCACCTTTTTTTGGATTTTGTTTTTTATTTTAATCTTGTATTTCAGTGGTTTCAGTAATTGTTCTTCAAAGGAAGAAGAGCGATTTCTTTAAAGTTGTATTTGTTATTGCTCGTATGGGGAGGTGCAGTGTGCTTGGTGTTTAGATGGAGTCTGTACTAATATTCATGTTTGGAACTGGGATGAAGAAAAGTAAATGTTAGGTTGCAGCGGTACCTAAGAGAAAATGAATGTAAGCATGAGTTGTAAATAACCGTTTAGACTGGGTTTGACACGTTGACGCACTGTCATAGTCTTTTCTATTTTGATTTCTTTTTCACTTTTATAAGGATTTGATTTTTTTTTCCTGTTGCAGGCGATACAGCCGCAGCACGTGAGTGCAGTATTACCAAAGATTGTTATCAAAGTCAGTGTAACAGTGGTGTGTGCCTTTATCATGAAACTTGAAGCCGTATAGGTACAGCTTGTGCCTTGTTTGCAATGCTTTCAGATCCTAATGCTGTTTATTTTTTTTATTTTTTTATCATTTTAAACATCAAGTGTCTCATTTACAGAAGGGTTAAGCTCTGAGGCTCTCACACCAAAGTTAACTGTTTGAGATATCCCGCATGACATCGAGCTGATTGTGTTTACTTAATGAGATTTTTGGCAAGCGGCTCAGCTTGTGCACTTGGGTTTGAAGGAAAAGTGCAGTCTGACCCAGACTCACTTTTTTATTTTATTTTTTCACTGATCAGACAGTGAAGAATGATGTACATGCTATGCAATGCATTCTCTTTATGTTCTGTTCAATTAATAAAAGGGGGGCAAAAAAGCCCTTAAAGCTGGTGTCATTTCTGAGTAGTCGCTACACCTTTCTATGGGGGGGGGGATGAATAGAGCACTTGATCATCATGGTATAACACACAGTTAAACTTCAAGGAATCAATCTGTCCAGTTAGGAAGCAGAATCCATTGTACACCAGTTCACTTTCCTTGGTGCAAATAAAAGTGACAAGTGCTCTGGAGTGGAAACAACTGCAAAATAAGGAAGCTTCTTGCTAGTTTCCCCATCACTTCTGGTAGCTGGAGGTTAGACAGGTAGTCCAGCTCCTCCAGGGTGTGTGTGTGTGTGTGTGTGTGCGCTGTTGCAAGAAAATTTAGTGTGTGTCTGAGAACGGTTTCCAGTGTGTGAAGATCTGAGGAGAGCTAGGCAGGACTTATTTTGTGCAAGCATGAGTGCTGCTAGAGTCCTACAAAATGACCTCCAGCTGGCTACTTGTCTGCATGTTTCTGACCAAAATGGGAAGTAACAGACTTGGCATGATGTCCTGACATCATTTAGTGGGACTGAAGTTCTCAGACCAGTACCATGCAGCTTAGTGTGCATTCTCTTAGTAACACCAGAATTGCCAGGCCCAACACTGGCACCCTATTCTCTTGCACAAAGGAGCAGATACTGGTGCTGCTGGGTTACCTCCCTCTCTTCCTGTGTAATGGCCCCTCTCGTGGGATCTCTGCAACACTTTTGAGACAGTAAACATTCCTGCAACAGCATACATTGATGTGCCATTTTTGGAGGACCTGGTCTACCTGTGCAGCCTGAATGGGCTGCAGGTACTGTCTCATGTTACCAGTAGTGATAAGGATGCAAGCAAAAAGCAGGGTTAGAGAGAAATCAGGCAGCAGGGAAAAGGAGAGCGCAATGGTTCTGTGGGCACCACCTGTAAAACCATTCCCTCTTAGGGGGGTTGTCTTGTAATTTTTCCCCTAATCGGTGAACCTCGTAACTTTCATGTTTACCAAAGCAAGCATAATGAATTCACAAAACTCGATAGACTGATATGCCTTAAGTTTAACTGACTTTGTGTAATGCCGTGATCATTAAGTGCGCCGTTAATTAAAAAAAAAAAAAAGAAGTTTCCTTTATTTATTGAACGGCGTATACAATGAGCTTACATGAGGACAACTTTTAAACATTTTCTAGGTTTCTTGCTGGAGGTGAACAGAGGCCGCACCATAGGTATCTGTGTGCCCCCAATTGGACAAATGATGAACTACACTGCAGTTTAAAAAACTCTTGGTATGTTCACTGTGGTCATGGTGCAACAGTTACTGAGAGGTTTGCCTCAGATGTATGCTTCTTTTCAAATGTGAGTGTTATTGACACAAACCAAAGCATTCAGGCAGTGTCAGCCTTGTATAGAGAGATTCATGCTATAAAATGACACTGTGGCTCTGAAGTGAAAATCTAAATGACTTCAGCAATTTTTCAAGCACTTTTTTAAATCATTGCAGAAAGACAACTGTTTCAAGTTACAAATAAAAAAAAAAAGAAAAAGAAAAAGTAACGTTTTCCCCCCATGAAATGAACACACACCCACACACACATGAAATAATTTACGTTTTATCACACATTGTTAAATAAATAATATTTATACAAATATGTAATTTTTTTAAATTTTACTCAGAAAGCTGATTTAGCACGCTGTGCTTCTCCCAATGCAGAATTGCACATACAGTACTGCCCTGCTCCTCAGGGTATACAGGTTATGGAGTAGTTCAGCATGTGGAAGCATGACAGGTGTGACTGGCAAAGGCATTGCACTGCCCTCAAAGCAACAATACACAGGCATCATCTTAAGGCCATTATAAATGGTTTAGCCTGTGTGCGTTTGTATAACCTGCACGATCCTCCTCTTCCTCAGTAACCTGCTTGCAAACCTGCTGCCCATGCTACATCAAAAAGAAGCCGGTGTATTGATGCTTTGAGAGTACAGAAAGAAGGCGATGCTAATGATACATTCCCATCTTGTTTTTGTGATAGTAAGTCAAAGAACTGATATTGTCTATCTAAATATTTTTCTTCCCACTCCCACATTCTTGCTGTTTTTTTTTTACTACTATCATGCGGACATGATCTACAGTCTGTGCCCCGTTGTAACAAGTAATAAGCACCAATAAAAACTTTCCAATTTAAACTCCTACTATAGTCTCTGTTGTGTGACACTACACAAAATCTACATTAGTTCAAATAAAATCATGAAGTTGGTTGCATATTAGTAACATTGTACCACTTCGTCGTCTTTTGCATCCTTCCTCCCTACAGTTTTAAAAATAATATGGCATGGTGTGAAAGTCATCTGTAATATAATATTTCAAACAGTGTTTTCAGGTGGTCCTTCAGTGAAGCTGATGCAGCTCTCTGTTTTGCTAACACTTCTTTAAACAGCTAATGAGTTAATGAGTAGTCAGTGAGCAATGAGTTATGCCTACCACAGTTGGCCCCTTATCTCTTAAAATCTACTCTAATACTTTTTAATAATCATTCAGCTTTGGCAAAAATGTTACTTTTTGTTTGTTCTTCCAGTGCTGTTTCAGACAGAAATCCAGAAAAAAACCTCTCAGACCACCACCGGCCAGAGAAATGCTGGAAATGCTGAGGATCGCCAGTTGTTTATGAGGTGTAGCCGGGGAAAATAGTTGCCACTGTACACTTCAACATCTGTAAATTCAAACAAAGAAGCTCTAAGAATTTTATGGCTTCTCTGCACTTACAACTTTGGGGATTTTCAGAGGTATGAATGAAGAAGAAAGTTGCGAAGAAAGGCAAAAAGAAGAGTTACCAGCGTTAGTAAATGTCACAGAGAGGAACATTTTCTCTTTCAGAGTTCTGAATAATCCACTCAATAGCATCCCAACCCTACAGATTCACAGAGAGAAAGAAAGGTTAAAAACAAGACCAAGGCCCAGAGACTGGCCAGTGAACATCCTGGTGGGGTTGTAAACCACTGACTGTGCTTCTGCCAGAGTGGTAAAGAAACTAGCAGAGAAAGCAGAGGCCCACTTAGAAGACATGCAAAGACTGTATTATTTGAATCTGCATTCATCATCAAATCAGGGTGCAAAAGACAAATAAAAAGAGAAACATATTATGTGTTACCTTCCTGGCGTTAGCTGACATACTCCTGGCCATCATGGCTTCCAGGTAGCTGCCCAGACTGACTCCCTTCACTGTAATGATGGCTTCCTGGGTCAGGACAGTCCTGAGCAGAGAGAGCACAGGCAATCGCAGAGACATCGTTAAACAGAAAAACATTACCGTAACATCTTGTTTCTGCAAAAAAATAGTGTCACGTTGATTCTGGCTCCTATCTCTTAGCCCTTTAAAAATGGACTGATGGTATTCATTCTAAACACATGCAAATAAAATAAAAGTTAGACTACTTACACCTCAGGATTTTCTGGGTGTGGTCTATAAAGAAGCCTCTCATCCACAGATATGAGGTTAGTTAGAGTGATCTGGAAAATAAAAGGGTAGATGGTGACAAAGTCTGTGCCACACTTTGTTTAAAAGCATTTATCAAGCTGCAAGCCTCCATATTAACTTACATTTGTTGAGCACAACTCCATCTTTTTCTCCTCTGGATCAACTATGGAATGTTCCTTCACATAGGTCTGTGTCTGGTTGGTTCCCAGTATCTACAGACAGAAATATACAGCACAGACACACTAAATCACACCAGCAATCAAACCTGTACTGGCAACAGCCTAATTACTACAAACACTTCATTCACCTGAAGTGTTTGTAGTCGCTTCAGGTGAATGAATTGTTGTGCTGTCATTCCTTTGAAACACGGAACCCCTGCAATACATTGAGAACCATTTCATATATCTGTATCTGCTGATGACTGACCGCTCTGACGATAGCCGGTAGGCCCCACTCTGTGCTGAGGAGTCTGTGGCTGTGAAGCCGGCCCTCTGTGTCCAGACTGCGGTCCAACACGTCCACCCCGATCACGTTAGGGTTCATGGGGTTGGGGTACTTCCTCATAGCAGCCTTGATCACTGTCTCCCAAGGGTAACTGCACACAGACCAGTACAAGATAACGTTTAAATGTGGTTACAACAGCAGCCATCAAAAATCTTCCATTGTTGGTTTCTGAAAGACACACTCTGGCTTGGACAGGTGTGGTTAGTGATCATCCTTGAAACATCATCAGTGGCACGCCTCCTGGTGTCAAGCCCATATAAAGACTTACCATCATGACTTAACATAGAGCAGACTGACTGGAGATATGGAGCCATGAGCTTCACCGTTTAAAGCACCGGGTTACATTAAGTTAAAGACAAGGACATGCCGGCTCAGTGTGCTGACCAACCTGAAAACATGCTCCGTGCTCCAAATCTTCATTTTATATGTCAGTCTGTTGACCTTATCGCGGAACAAAACGCCCTTTTCACCGCACCATTATAATGAGGAACTAGCTCCAGTAATGGGAGAATGAGGCCTGTGATGACAGAAGCTCACGAACATCAATGCAGTGAGTCCAGGGAACACATCCCAGCTTTTCTCCGCATATCAGCTTCGCGTAAAAACTGCGCAAAACACCCTGCGATCCCCGCGTCACGGCGACGACAGGCAGATGGCCTGTAATGGATGAATCCAAGTAAATCGTCCCGCTAGGACACAAAAGAAGCCGGTGCAACTGCGGAGGCAAGTAGCGTCAAGTCACATAGTGAGATACAGGAGTCAGGTCGCACATTTCAGAATAAAATCCTCGCTCGAGTGTCCTGATCAGTCGACGACACTGGTTTTACCGACATCACGTAGAGTATGTGGACGATCTCATGGAGATATACAGTTCATAAACGTTAATTAGCATTAATCTTTTTATTAGTGTCAGAATTTTTCTATATGAATGTACTCGTAATGAACAGCGCCCTAAACTGCAATCATATCTCTTAATTTGTATCATTAATGGCGTTTATACAACTCTTTAATGCACTATGATGCAACACTTTCAATGAGTGTATTCCAATGAGATTTCTGCGAAGGGTACCGCTCTTCCTGTCTGACTCTGCTTGTGTCCGGCTGACTTGACTAAAGCTGGTGAAGCGCTTGTTGCTGCATCCGTCTCAATTTGTGCGCATGTGCAAAGCATCCTTCCCTCATCCACCGACAAGTGGCAGCAAAGGAGCGGGGTTGAGTCAAGTTGCACGAAGGAGATCGTAAACCTAACCGGAAATAAAGGGTAAGTCCTTTCCAATAAAAACCCAAAGTGCGCTATTAAAAAGGAGAAAAGAAAAGAAAAATAGAAAAACAACAAACCAAATCATATAGACAATAATAATAATAATATTATATAATGATTATTATTATTATTAATAATAATAATAATGACAATAATAATAATAATACGCTACGTCGAGATGAACGCAATCAACTTTTGGAGATTTACTTACCTGGATGATTGAGAATGCATCAAGACGAAACTATTATTATTATTATTATTATTATTATTATTATTATTATTATTATTATTATTATCATATAATATTATTATAATAATATAAGATCATTGGAGTGGGGGGCAATCAGTTGGGAACAAAATCTTATTATTTTTGAAATATAACCGGAAGTACAACATAATAACTGTTTGGATTTACGCTCGTGTTGTTGGTATTCATAGAAGCAGACGCGCAGTGGAGGCTAGTATGGTCCCTTAACGAGAATTTCGTGCCATTGCCGTTCATTCAGCGGCCCGTCTGTTTCACTCCAAATAACGAAACAATTCATCAGGTCACATAAAAGTCTATCAGGAGATTGGAGGTCGGATTAACGCGCATCGCGTGACCTTGCACTGAATGTAAAAATAGTGGGATTTTCTTTTAAAGCACCGACACGGTAAGGAAACGAGCATCCTCATCCGCGCGGAGGTGAAGGCGAGACAAATGTCGCTATTGTGGCCTACTGTGCGATGCATGCAGACGTTGAGTGTCAGATCATGTGTTTTGTGGAAAGCGTTGTTTTAATGGCGCATAGATACAATCAGCTGTGAGTTTTTGAGAGATCAGGCTGACAATAAGACTGCTCGTGCAGCCCGTGGTTGAAGGCCGGGATTGCATGCCGCAGAAAGCAAACCCGTGACACAGAGTGGGCTTTTTAAAACGCATGCAATAAAGCTTTTATCGCAATAAAAGCTTTTAGAGATATGCGTATTAAATACGAATCTTAACTTCCATATAAATTGCAATTATTGTCTTATTCTCTGATCGGTTTTTGTGTAGAGCGCGTGCAGGAATATGGCAGATGCTGCAGCATCGCTTGATCCGCTCCGGGCCGGAGAGAGAAAGGGGAGGAGAGGGAGGTGGGGGGTGGTGCACCTTTTTAGGAGCGTTAAATCACACCCTGCGTCTGAATGTGCAATCCACAGTCAGAGTATTTCATCCTGGCTCTCTTTACAGGAGATGAGGCATTACATTGTAAAAGTATGTAAGGCATCTTCTCGTTCGAAGAGTCACCAGGTTGGCTGTTGGTCGTGTTCAAACCAAAAATCTGCTGACACATGCGCTCTACCAGCCTGTGTTCCCAGCTTTTGTGCGCAATGAAGCCTATTGCCCAACTACCAAGGCCTCATGGAGCACCAAACTCCTATCATGTAACTGACCTCCCGTTGGCCTATTGATCTATTTATTTGATTACTTTTCTGAGGAGTGGTGTTAAAATAAATTTATTGCCATTATTAAGATGTCTTTTCCCTGTTATTGCTCTTCTACATAATGACACCACTCAACCTCAGTGAATTTAGCTCTGTTTATTAAATGGTTGTCTGTTTTATTTCAGGTTAACTACCCCAGCCATGGAGATCATCACACATTTAATCAACGACACCATAGAGTTCTACAAATGGACCCTCACTATTGCAGGTAATACCTTCAAAACATCCGGCATGCCTGAGAGCATCTGTGTGAGATATTTTAAGATCAGAGAAGTTGTATTTATCAGTGAGTAAATGCACATTCACTTGCCCGTGTGTCCAGCCTTAGATATTATGTATCACTCTGCAGGGTTCTTGCTGCTGTGAGTCATTATAGAGGGAGTTAGTATAAGAATAGTGCATCACTGGCAATTTGTTAACAAATTACTCAATACTTTAGGACATATAGTAGCTATATATGAACTGCAATATACCGCAGTATGTATTTTTGTTGCTACACCCAGTAACAGGCCCTGTACCCTTTATCAACCCAGGATATGCTTGGATGCTCTCTCAAAGTATCACCATCAAACTGACCACTGGGCATCCACCTGCAGGATATTATCTGTTATCTGCACTACTACTCAGCACGAGCACTCCTCTCAAAATATACTGAACCCACGCTGCATCAGTGCAATGCAAATATTACGAATATTTATGTAACTCTATGAAAACATGTTTCTGTCAGACAAGCGTGTGGAGAAATGGCCCCTGATGGACAACCCCCTACCCACGCTCGCCATCAGCACCTCCTACCTCCTCTTTCTCTGGCTTGGGCCCAAATACATGAAGAACAGAGAGCCCTTCCAGCTCCGCAAAACCCTTATTGTCTACAACTTCAGCATGGTCTTCCTCAACTTCTTCATCTTTAAAGAGGTAGATTGTCACATTGTTTTGATTGTTACTTGCACGCGTCCAATAACTGCAGTCAGTGAATTAAATCTGATATCCTCTTATTCCAGCGTTAACTGTGCTCCCGAGTTGATACGTTACAGCAGCCGTTTTGTCCTCTGGGTTTAGACTAACCTAATTACAGTGTACTCATGCTCTTGTCTGCACTCCATCTCTTCTTTTCTCTGCCATTATCACTGTATGCTTGATAGCAGTGACTCAATGGACACTCTTGTTTTTTCAGCTGTTTATGGCAACGCGAGCAGCCAGATACAGTTACATTTGTCAATCGGTGGATTATTCAGATGATCCCAATGAAGTCAGGGTGAGTGTTCAGAGCGTGCACACACACACACTTGCATAGATAAACTCTGAATATAGTAGTGGGACTTCAGCTGTTTATGTAACTTACTATCTTAAGACTTTTGTGGCTACAATAATTAGTTTCCTTGGAACCAGATCCCTACCTGTTAATAATTCTCCACTGTACCCATGGTTCAGAAAATTACAGTCAGCCTGCCAGGGACACGTCACTCAGAGAGCTTTTAGAAACATGAGCGGCGTCCATACATTTAGAGCATGGGCCTGTTATCAGAAAAAAGTACAAGCCGGAGTTGAATGGTGTTCAGTTTCACCTTCCTTCCTGTTGCTCCATGACGTAGTTTGAAACAGAAACTACAAGTGAGTCAGTCTCGGGTCGAGGTTAAGATTTCCAAAATCAGAGTTCACGCACATGTAGCTCTTGATCATATATGTTCATATGTTAACAGTCTTTTTCTTCTCCTTCTTTATTTCTGTGGGAGTCAGGTGGCAGGAGCTCTGTGGTGGTATTTCATCTCCAAGGGCATTGAGTATCTGGACACTGTGTTTTTCATCTTGAGGAAAAAATTTAACCAGGTCACCTTCCTGCACGTCTACCATCATTGCTCCATGTTCACGCTCTGGTGGATTGGCATCAAGTGGGTGGCAGGGGGACAGTGTGAGTAGCTCACAACACAGCAGACATCAGCTATATGCTGAATTTATCAGCATTGCTGTTGATAAAGCCTTCACTGGCTCTGTAGTTTTGTGGTTTATACTGGGTGAGGCTGGGAAGAGACACAAATCCCTTGGTGGGTGCTTCAGGAAGCTAAACCAGACATGTGGAGCTACTTGTCTATAAACCTTTTATTCACTACTGGTAAATGTATTCATTATTGTTGTTTGTTGAGGTTATTTTTTTTATAATATGCATCTGCATATTAACAGCCATGCTAGCAACTCTGTAAAGGTATACCACAGGCAGAGGAGCACTTTGAGCTAAGTGCTAATGCCAACAAGGCAACATGTTGAGAGTAATAGCATTTAATCGCTGAAGTTTACTATTGGGTACAATGTTTATCATGTTCACAGTATGTATTTAGCATGCTAACACGCTATCACTTGCTAATTAGTAAACACAGGTGCAGCTGTATGTATATTTGCAAGTAGATGATTGTGACTGAGAGTAAACTGAGTCTGAACACTGATGAGGAAGCTAGATGACAAATTTCACTGAAACCCACAAGTATAGTATCGTCATATGTAGCTTGGATAGTTTAATCGGGATTCATGGGGCCCCTGGACCTACACTTGTTTGTATCTCCCACCCCCTCAACTATTGTCTTTTTATTGGATACAGACAGCAGGAGTTCAAAGCAACTCAGTTTAAGATTTTTTTTAACTATAGTAAGCAGAACAAAATTAAAAACTTATTGTTTCTTCTACTGCAGCATTCTTTGGTGCACATATGAATGCGATGATCCATGTCCTGATGTACCTGTATTACGGTCTTGCCTCCTGTGGACCTAAGATCCAAAAGTACCTGTGGTGGAAGAAGTATCTGACAATTATCCAGATGGTAGGTTGATTTCCAATGAAATATATTGACTGTAGGGATCATTTGACTGAAAATCATTCTTCTAGCTATGAAAGAACAGTGAAAACACAATATGGTGCAAAAGCATAACTCTTATTCTCTCTTTGGGGCTCAGGTTCAGTTCCATGTCACCATCGGTCACACGGCCTTGTCTCTCTATGTCAACTGCGATTTCCCCCACTGGATGCACTACTCCCTCATCTG